CAAACTTTGCACAGCAATAACCGCAAGCACATGTCAATAACACTAATAAAAATGAAAAACAATAATAATTCATAATAAAAATTAATAGTAATAAACAATAAAAATAATAAATAATAATAATAATAATTAATAATAACAAATAATAATAAACAATAATAAATATTAATAATAATTAATAATAACAAATAATAATAAATAAAAAACTACTCAATTAAACCACCAGTTATACCAGTCACAACAGATTATATATTAGCGAATCAGTCCAAAGTGAAGCTTAGCGGCTAAGCGCAATCAGATAAACAAATCAATCAATAAAACACGTTTGAGGGCAAAGGCCAAACCAGACTACAAACATCAAACTACAACGATGATCAATAATCAAACTACAAATCGAGCAACGTACAATGTACAAAGGGCAAAGTACAGTTTCGGCTTATTCCACATCAAATAAAAGAGACAAAATGAGAAAAAAATTTTTTGAAAGAACTCAAATGAACTTTGGGCATTTCCCCGAGCGTAATAATAATAATATTAAAAATAATATTAATAATAATAAACACAATAATAATAAATGTAAAATATCAATAAAGTACCACAAAAAATTAAAAAATATTTAAAAAAACTCGTTCTACGCGATTATCACTGTTCAAATTTCCCTACTACTTAATCAAAACTTTCAAAATCCAGCCGCTCGGAACACTTTCTCCACATTCGAATAAACCTGAAATTAATTTCAGTACGTGGTACGAAACAACGTTCCCGAGCCAAACAAAATCATTTCTCATTTCAACGTGCCCAATAGGAGATAGATGGAGATCGCTACGTCACACGTGCACTGCGCCACTTACCAACCCCGCTTCGCAAAACCGCTTGTGACATTTACCAACCACATTTCCAAACTATCNTTCCAAACAATATTCCCGAGCCAAACAAAATAATTTCTCATTTCAACGTGCCCACAGTGAGATGGATAGAATGATCGCTACGCCACACGTGCACTGCGTCACTTACCAGCCCCGTTTCGCAAAACCGCCTGTGACGTTTACCAACCCAATTACCAAACTATCCAAAGCGCGAAAACAACCGAAATATGACTGTCAAACACTGTTGAAAAACAAAACCACTCCAAAATCGGGCGAAGCAACGAGATTCATGAGAAAATATGAGGCGGAAAAGATAGAAATTTCAGGTCAGAGAGGAAATTTTTGAAAATATAAACCTGATCAGGCGGATCCACCGATGACACTTCCCTGACCAAATCCAACTCCTTGTAGTGATTTATAATCGGCAGGGTCTGATTATGATAAGTCTGAATGCGTTTTCTCAATGATTCTTCGTTGTCATCCGTACGCCCTTGGCCACGATGCAGACAACGATACGTGCACACCTGAAATACCGTTATACAATACACTACCGTACACTACAATACAAGTTAGCGGGGTGGCAAGTGTCTCAGCACCAACCTGTGCCATTTACCACCCCATTTCACAAAACTGCAACGAAAAATTCAACGTTTTCCGAAAAAAATCGCAGTACACTTCCGTACCGCACAGTACACTAAAATACAATACAATGGGGGTGGTAAGTGTCTCTCTACAAACCTGTGCCACTTACCACCCCATTTCACAAAACTGCAACGAAAAATTCAACGTTTCGTGGAAAAAAATCACAGCACACTACCGTACCGCACGGTACGCTACAATACGATACAATACAATAGGGGTGGTAAGTGTCTCAGCACCAACCTGTGCCACTTACCACTCCCAATTCACTTGTCATTTACCAACCCGTTTTCTGGGAAAAAATCACGAGAATTTGGAAAAAATTAATCAAAAAAAGCCACATAACATACATCTTCCGGACACGACAAGTAGAGAACAAAATGCACTTTCGCCTTGTTGCCCATCTCACGCATCCACCCTTCGAAATTATCCTGATTACGCGGGAAACCATCCACCAAGAAGCCTTTCGCTTGGGGACGTTCGTTCATAGCCTGAAATTAAAATAAACCTGAAATTGAACCTGAAATTAAATTTTTTTGCCTTCCTACCAGATATACACTACACTACAATACAACAGAGGTGGTAAGTGTCTCAACACAAACCTGTGCCATTTACCATCCCAGTTCACCGGTCCTGTGCCACTTACCACCCCGGTCATTTTATACCCCCACCCATATTCCCGCTAGTCTCAATTTAAACAATGCAATCACGTGATAATAACTCGTAATCACTAACATTCTCGAGCAGCTTGCACGTGATTTCCACGGGGACAATGGTTCCATTCTTGATGTGTCCCTCGAT